TGAGCCCCAATTGTGAATCTGTGATTCCTTGTCATAAAATAAGTGAGGTAGGTTTGGTTCGAGTGCTAGAATTTTAAAAAGAATACTGTGTAAAATATTTTTGAAATAAAAAGTATATTATGTACCAAGAATATTGCGTAAAATATGACTAAGAACATACTAGATATGTGATAATGCTAAAACAAGCGAAGTGTTTTATTTGGCGTAATGATAACTGTGAATGGAGATGGGTGTCTTAGTAGTATTTTCCCCTTTTTTAAGTTTCAAGTCAATATTGGTTTTCAATCTTGTCCCTTCTTGTACAAAAGGTTTCTCGTGGATGGAATTGGGAGATTTTTCATTTATTAAAATTTGAGTTCATGCCCTCAGTAAGTTACTTAACTAGATAATGCCCATCCGAGTTACATAAACTCTAGCGACATTATTGCCATTCTGTAACTTGGTTGTTGATAGCTTGCCACAGTCTAGAAATTTCCTTTTTTCTGTCTAATATTGTTTCATCTGCAAGGCTTCAACGTAAAGGATATTTTTTTGTTGTGTAACTTGGCTGGTGTAAGAACGAAAAAGGCGTAAACTACAACTATTCTCCAGCCAGGAATTTGAATAGGATGCAAACTGTTTTTCTTGTTCTTTTCTTTTCCTTATGGACAGCATTGTTTTGCCTACAAAGTTTTTGATGCGAATGATATGTTTTGATGTCTAACTTGGTTGTTGAATTGTCATCATAGTCAACGACCCATTTGTGATGAAGGCATGGGCAAAAACATACCCTGAGAACAAGCATGTCAAGTTCCTAGCTGATGGCTCTGCAACCTACACGCATGCTCTTGGCCTGGAGCTTGACCTCAAAGAGAGAGGCCTTGGCACTCGTTCAAGGAGGTTTGCTCTTCTGATTGACGACCTCAAGGTGGTAGCTGCAAATGTTGAATCTGGGGGAGAATTCACCGTGTCCAGTGCTGATGATATGCTTGCGGTTCTCTAGAAAAGAAAATTAGCAGCAGCAGCTATCCTTTTATTTTATCACTGTGGACAGAACACATCCTATCTTATCTCAATCTAGTGAGTTAAAAAATGTTAGATCATT